GCCTGGGCCTTCCTTTTGTCCCCTCAAACTCACTCATCTCTTTCCTATTGCCCCAAAATAGCAATGTATATGTTCTTAAGCATGACAAACGTATTGCTTTATCCCTGGAAGGAGAGCAGATGCTCATATTTGAGATGTGTCCGGAGCACAGGCCCAGAGGCATCCACCAGGACCGGCGATGCCAAGATCCCCCGTCCTGGCCTCCCCAGACCCCCACGCAGTGTGACAGCGTGGGACACACATCCTGTCCACGCCTGGCTGCTGGGGCTGCAGAATGCATCTGAGTTCAAGCACAGTTGATTGAGACCCAGCGGGGAGAGGCGATCTGAGGTGCAAATGGAGGCTGACGCAGGCAGCATGTGAGCTTCTCTGAGGAGAGCCTGGCCTCTCCAGCCTGGGCACCTCTGAGACACGTTCTGCACTGCCCCCGCCCCCAACCTGCTGCCTCTGTGGAGATCATTCTGTGGCAGGGCAACAAGCACACACAGCAGGTAGGTGCCACAGCCCTGGGGCCTGGGCCCTAAAATGAGAGCCTGGGGGATGGTGCCACCCACTTCTGCAGGTCAGAACACCACGGGGCCTCAGGAGCAGCAAGGCCCACGCAGGCTTATGGAAAGTGGACCTTGTAGGAGACGCTGGAGGGCTGTGTGCTGACGCTGTGGGCTGGAATCTCTCCTCCGCCACTGCACACACATCCTCCATGAATAATGTGGCTGCAGCCACAGCTCAGCCCCAGGATTCAGTGGGGGACAAAGTGGGGACCTCACAGAGCCCGTGGGCCTGTGACTCTGCCCCACCCCACTCGATCTGGCTCCAAGTGTCCCTTCCACTTCAGTGGTGGTGTCCAGCTAAGCCCTGAAGTGTCTGTGCTGTCCTGCCTGACTGCCTGAGCCTGCTGTCAGCCATACCTCCCCAGCCCATTCTTCGTCCAGTACTGTTCGTCCATCAGTGCCCTGCGCAGTGGAAAGCCCACGGGCATCTCTGCCTCCCCCTCCAGCAGACTCTAGGGCAAGCAGCCCCGTGCCAGTCTGAGCTGCTCACAGACAGCATCTCTGGACTGACTGTTGGTGCTGTGGTGGGGGGGCTGGGTACCAGGATGAGAGACCCCAGGCCAACAGCAGGGACCATGTCCTTGCCACTGCAGCCACAGCCTCACCTCCTGAGCCCATACCTCCCACCTGACGCCTCACGTGACACAGCTCCCCTCTGACCCAGGACCGTGGGTCTGTGGCCCAGGCTTCAGGGTGGGGCTCACTATCCTGCCATCTCCTGGCCCGAGGCTGGGACTCTATATATGTGTGACAGTTTGTCCCTTGCACTTGCTCTGCTACCCTGATGCCCTCCTGGCCCTTCTAGGCACAGTTCCTCCTGACGTCCACCCACAATCCCAGGTCATGGTCCCCAGTAAGCTGAGTGTGTCACAGGCCTCCGTGCCTGGTGGCAGGCTGAGCTGACGCCAGGCTTAAGGTCAGAGGTGGCACGCTGGGGCCCTCACCCTAGCTGCTGTGTGCATGAGGCTGCGGCCAGCCCAGCAGGGGTCTGGGACGAGGTGCAGAGCTTAGGGCACAGGGCAGGGAGCAGGCCGGGAGCTGCCGCGTGGGGCGAGGGCCAGCTCAGCTAGGCTGCCAGGCTTGCCCCCGAGCTCCAGCCCACACACGGGAGGACTGCAAGCCAATCCCAGACATCCGTGGCAGGCTGGAGGCTCTGGGGAGCAGGCCTATGAAGGGGTCCTGTGTGTCGCAAGCAGCTCTGAGAAGTTGCCTCTTAACCAGTGTCAATAGGAGGGTGGAGCCTGGAGCCGGTGGCTTCCTCGTGCTTCATTCTGCAAATGTGGAAGATTCAGAGACTGGCTCCACAGCTGGGAAGGCCTTGGCTGGCCTGGACGGTGGGCGGCTGGGCTGCTGCTCATGAGAAAACTGGTGCATTACACGCACACATCTATGCACACACACAAATGCACATGTATACAGGTGCGTGCATATAATGTTCCAGTACACACCTATTTACACACATGCATTTGTGCACACCTATCCACACACCTATAGTATTCATACGCACACATGCACAGACACCTGCATGCACCTCTGTGTGTGCAGGTGTGTATGCATGCATGTGGGGTGTGCACAGATGTGTACGTGAGCGTGTAGATGCACCCTGTTGTATTTAGAAACTGTAGAGGTCAAATTCAAACCTTTACGAGCACTCGGGCACCATTCCCTCAGAGACGTGCAGCAGAGATGGCAGGCGGCATCTGCTAGGAGGTGCTGCTGGGGGGACGGGCAGCGTTGTTTATAATGAGTGTGCTTATGCAGCCGCATTTGTGTGCCTGTTCTGAATGTACCCCAATTCCCACGCGTGCAGAGCGTGCTTGCTGCGCTGGAGAACCGCTAGCTAGCATCAACATCTTTTTTCCAGAGAAGTGGGTGCATCTTCCAGGCAGAAGCTGTGCAGGTCTGGCATTGATTTTCACCAGATTTTGTTATTACATTTGTCTCACAGCTTTAAAATAGTAGCAAATATGTGCAATTTATTTAAACAACACTAGGGAAATTAATGCCATCCGAGCTTATCCTAAGCAAATGAAGACAAAGCAGGGGTTTTTTTTTAATGGCTGTGTGAAAACTCTGTACGAGCTGGAGCCTGAGATTCAGAGCCCAAGGTGCGCTGCCACTGCTGCAGAAGCAACTGCCAGGGAGGTGGCCCGCAGGGCTCTGCCTCCGCACGTGCTGTAGCCACGGCTGCCAAGGCCCCCTTCTGCGGTGTGCTTGCGCTGGCCTCTGCCCTGGCATCTCTAAGGGCCCCAGTGTTCACCAGGTCTGGCTGGCCACTCATGAAGACACTCTCAAAGACAAAACCTAAGCTACCTCCCCTCTCCAGAGGCAGGCAGCTGGGAAGTGTGCACATAATTACCTGCAGGTTTAAAATCTCGGTGGTGAGGTGGCTGTGCATTTGCCGAGCAGCAGTCCTCCTACTGCGCCAGGCCACCTCTCCAGGGCTCGAGGGATGGGACTGTGGCCATGCCCGGAACTAGTGCCCGTGGGACCCAAGAATATGCCTCTGAGGGAGCCTCTGGGGCTCAGCGGCTGGTCCAGGGCCAGCCTGAGACTCTGAAACCTCTCCCCACTTGTCTCAGAGGTGTCCTGAGGACAGGGACTCACGATCCTCAGAGCCTGCCCCAAGTCTAGGAGGCTTTCTCTCAGCCATCCCTGAGACCCAGAAGAAGACAAACATCCACTGGGATGAGGCTGCGCTTGCCACCTACAGTGCCTGGACTGGAGCGGGGGACGTGGACAAGGGTGTCATGTGCACGTGTGTTGGCTCCCTTCACCGGAGACATTCTGTACACTATGGCACTCAGAAAATGCCTCCAGGTAAAAGGGATGAAGGAAAGTAAAACAGCATCAAAAGCCCCAAGAAACCTGGAGCTCACGTTGTGATGCGTGTACTTTGCATTCTGCCTCGGCCCTGCAAGCACACGCCAGGACTCACGCTGCCGCGCACCGGGGCTGGGTCTCCACTCGCTGATGCTTCCCAGACGTTGTGCCCAAGCAGCACCCTGCAAGAGTGACTTTCAGTGATGCACGTATCCCGAGGCCTGCGTGGAATGCAATGGAATACTGTTATTTACTGTCAGCAGCCAGATTTCTTTTTGGCATGTTTACAATTACAAAAGCACCTACAGTGACATCTTTACGCAGACTTCTGTCTGCACAGTCTCTCCCTGGGATGGATTTCCGGCTGCAGAGAGGAAGGGTTGATGGGGAGGACCGAGGCTGAGGCTCTCGGCGGTCAGAGGCAAGCCGGCCAGCAGGGCTGTGCTGACCCCAGGCCCGGCAGGCGGAGTCCTGGGGACCGAGGCGCACAGGCTAAACGCAGGGCCTGTCCTGCCATAATCTCCACAGCACTCCTCCAGGTCCACGCCGCTGTCCCCAGGCCTACTTCAGAAAAGAGGCTCTAGCAGTGCTCAGGGCTGGGGGCTTTTCTCTGCCGCGTGTATCTCTGGCTCACAGAGGTGTCAGGGGCTCAGTCCGCTTACTGCTAAAGCCCCACGCTCCGCCCCCTCACTCTCCTGACAAAGCCACAGCTTTCCCTTGGTTGGAGGACAAACTGGCTCCGTCCTGTGGACTTGCCGGATGAAAAGGACACAGCATTGTGACTTGCACTTTGATTCCTGGGAAACTGGAAGAGTTTTCATGAGTTTGTTGACTATTAGTATTTATTTTGTTATGAGTTATCTGATGTTATTTTGTTAATATTTCCTGTTATGAAAACAAGATGTCATTTTTTCCTTATTGATTGGTAAGAGTTCTTTACATATGGACTATTAACCCTTTCTCAGATTTGTTGTAAAGTGTATTTTCTGAAGTTGTCGTTTGCTCTTTGGGGTATATTTTCATAAGTAGGATTTTAAACTAAAATATTTCAGTCTTCTTAGAGGAAAGGAAAGTGTTCACGGGGAGGGGAGGGTAAAAGAGGGTAACAAGTACCCTCTTTAGGTATAACCAAAATACGGCATTATCATGCTGGGGTAAGGCTCGGTGACCCACCACGTTCTTAAGCATGCTCAAGGCCAAGATAAAAATAAACAGATAAAAAGTGCAGCTGCATGGGGTGGCACAGGCCTGTAACCCCAGCACTGTGGGGGGCTGAGGCAAGAGGACCATTGTTTTAAGGCTGGCCTGGACAAATTAGTGAGACCTTTCCTCAAAATAGAAAAGTGAAAAGGGACGGGGACATAGCCAGGGATAAAGAGGGCCTAGATTCCGTTTCACTACCGCGAAGCCAACAGACGACAAGGCACTTACCGCGTGCTCTCTCAGTCCCTGCACTGTCCCCAGCTCTCCAGTAACCCCCAACACTACACACAGATGCAGGTCTCGCTTGACCATGTTCCTGAGCCTTGGTCCCTTTCCCCAGCGTTCCCAGTTTTTCCCTACTGTTCAGGGACCCTCTGAACTAACCTTCTCTATCTCTTCTCTCCCCACCAAACAACACCGCAGAAAGGAAAGAAGAACGTGGCCCTAGACCCTTCCCAATACCCCAAGGACACGCTGCTGCCGTGGCCTCCACACCAGAGCTCCAGTGGGCTGAGGCGGCAGAAGCGGGACTGGGTCATCCCTCCCATCAACGTGCCGGAGAACTCCCGCGGGCCCTTCCCACAGCAGCTGGTGAGGGTAAGTGCGCCCCGCACGTTCCGGGGGCTGGCGTCTCCCTCATTCCGCGAGTGGGATCTAAGCTCCCAGTCCCTTGCCACCTCTTCTGGGAGGAGCAAGGATTGTGCAGAGTGGAGGGGAGCTTCACTCTCCGGCTTTCTCTGGTTAGGGTGACTTGTGTTCTGGTTGTCAGTCTTATGCTTGGGAGCAGGTGGGGCAAGGACAGGGACCATGGCCTCTGGCCTCTGGCCTCCAACACATATCTGTGATCTGTTGTCCTTCCATGCACAATGGCGGAATGCCTTCAATGATGCTCTAGGGTCATAGTGCTGAGAAGTTGACACACTCCCTGAGACTTGGTCCCTTGGGACTGTGGCTGGCAAGGCCCAGTGCCTACCACCGTGATCCCAGCAGCCACCACAGGCTGCTGCTTCGGCAGAAAAATTCATTTCACAAATCCACATTTTTGTGATCGTGACTACAAAATGTAGTAAACTGTAAGCTGACATCTCCTCCTTCCTTTTGAAGAAAGTTGCAACTCAGTCTAAGCAGTAATTTGATAAAATGTTGGCAAGTGTTCATTAAATAATTGCTATCCCCCAGCCGAGAAGCCTTGCCCTCTCCCTGGAGCCAAAGATCCCCGGCAGCTGGGGAGGGGTGAGCTTCGGCCCTCAGGCTGAGCAGGCTGTTTTGTTCTTGTTCCTTTCCACACACAGAGCTGGGCAGTGTGTTTAGGATGAGGGGGCAGAGCCTAGGGCAGGGGCTTACAGCCCAAATGCCCCCGCATCAGCCCTGAGGGGTCCAGTGCTCTGTCCAGGGTGGGCCGGGCACTTAGAGCAGGAGCAGAGCCACCAGTGCGCGCAGCAGGCACACGCCGCCAAGGGGACGGGGTCACTGCCTCTGCGTGCGTCCTCGCCAGGTGCGGCATGTGGCTCTCCGGAGCCAGCCGCAGCCCAGGAGCTGCCCGGCTGGGCTGAAGATTTCGTCGTGAGATGGGGATCAGGACATGGGGCTGCTCTCCAGGGTGAGAGCGGTAGCCCCCGAGCCCCACACCCCCGGGGCCAGCGTCAGCTCTGCAGTCCCACGCTGGGCCCCAGCCTCACCGCTCTCCAGGTGCTTGCTGTGTCTGGCCATGGCTGCCTTCAGGATTGCTTGCGACTTTCTGTAGGTCATTCATTTTCAATATGAATAAGTTTGTTCTAACGGAGGCTTTGTGTCTGACTGTGGCTGGCACAGCTTTGTTCGTTAGAAAGAGCTGGTGGACCAAAGGTGGAGCAAACAGAGCCAAGAAAGTCCACCAACCCTGCGGGCTGTCCTGGGTGTGACAGGCATAGGACCCCACAGAGCCTCTCCCGAGGGTCCTCAGGACACTGGCACCTGGGAAGGGAGTGAGGTTCCCGCTGTGCCCCCCAAATCTACACTTGGAGAAAACCATTGCTCCTGCTCAGGCTGGCCCAGCCCGTAAACGCCTTGGCTCTGCCTGATGCTGGCAGCCGCCCAGGCAGTGTTCGAACCAGTAAATGTGGTTTGGTACCAATAAATCCGCATTTACACAAATAGGCACAGTGCCGAATTTGGCCCAGGCGCCATAATTTGGCAAGCACCAGTCCAATCCTTCTCAGACTCCGGGAAGACCTCAGAGATCAGCCTCACTGACACACGGTGGGCACATATTTGTTGGGTGTGCTTGGGAGTTTGGCTGGCGTTCAGCACTGCTGGGACATTCTGTCGCCCAGCTGGCAGAGTTCCTCAGAAGGTGGCATGGGCTCTACACATGGGTCTCTCTTCCTCTGCTCCCATCTGGAGACAGGCTTGCAACAGCTACCAAAAAGAGGCAGTCCCTGCGGACAGAGCCCTGCCTCAGAGGAGGCCAGCTGGGGGAGATCAGGTGGCCTCGCTGAGCCTGCCCTGACCACCTTCCGCTGTCATCTGCAGAAGATGCCCTTATGAGGCTCCCCGCTGCCTGGCCACAAAGCACCAGGAACTGCACAGGCAGGCCAAGTGGGGGTCACCGAGGCCCAGCCCCTGCCCCCAGCAGAGCGCGTGCAGTCACCGCTGGGCTGTCCCTCACAGGGCAGCTTCTTTCACTAGCTGCCGCAGTACAAGCTGAGCTTACCCATCCCCACTCCAACGCCCTACTGGAATGTTGCTTTCCAGTTTGAACAGCTAAAGTAGGGAAATTTCCTGCCTGCCCAAGTCATGGAAACCATGGAGAGCGTGGCTGGAGAAAGCAGAGGGTGGTAGGTGCCCCCAGCCCCCACAGCACAGCTCTTGGGACTCTGAGAGGCTGGCAGCTCTAAACCTGAAATGTGGAGACAGGACATGTGAGTTTGGCCTTCCATGTCAGAAGGAGAAAAGCTGCAGGTCCTGCAGTGCTGGAAGCCCTCTCTGGCAGCTTTGCCGAGGTGGCAGCTCCTTCTGTCTTAGAGTCTCACATAGCCTTAGTTTAAAGCATATGTGTCACCTGTCCTCATACGCTCTGACTTCACCCTCTCAGAAGTGTCATCCTCAAGTGGAGGGTGTCGCTCCAAAGCAGGCTACAGCGTGTGCGGTTTGCTCCGCTGCTATAAGGAGCAGGCCCAGGCTTTCACAAGCAGAACCCAGAAATTACTCCTTGCTTATTGTACAAGGCCACCACGAAGATGGCTGGGCAGGGAAGCGGCCAGCTCTGCCTGTGTCCTCCTGGCCGAAGCACAGTCACCGGACCGCACCTGCTTCAGGGGCCTGGAGCCACAGCCCAGCAGCATGGCCATAGGACGCGGGTGTGCAGGGAGCGGCGGGTATTCACCCTGGAGAGCAGCCTGCATGCCCCCTGGGGGGGCCAAATATCCCAAGGACCCCACAGCTCTGGGGCAGCTCTCGGCAAATGACTCGGATCTGAGTCCAGCCCTTGCCCAAGCCTGGCCTTCCTCTCTACCCACTGCCCTGCTGTGACCTCACAGTCGCTAGCTGCTCACCCGCCGGCCCACCCTCTACAAAGAGGCCTCCTGTGTCTGTAATCCTGGTGCCCTGACAGCCTGTGCCATGCGGTTGGCACAGCTGATGGAGGGCTGAGTGCTGAGCGAGCGTGCAGGAGGGGGAGCAGCCTCGTGGAGACCTGGTGCAGCAGGCGCCCCGGGGCGATCTTGCAGGGGCCCGCATTTGGCACGCCCGTGTCCATCCAAGACAGGCAGCCAAGCCGGGCTGGTGTTCAATAGAGATACTTCTGCAGCACATGGAAAATGGGCCCTCCATTATGGCTTCCGTAAGACTTGTCTTCCAAGTCATTATGTAAGATCACAGTGCGCACACATATCATGCACACGCGCACACGCTTGCGCACACACACGCTCTGAATTCTCAACCAGCGCAGACCACTGTGCTGCGGTGCTGTGCTGCCCCGTCTCTGCCCGCAGGACATCCTGTCGGTGTTTGAGGGAGGCCGTCCCTGACAGAGCCCCCGTCACAGCGCATGAATGCGGCTTGATGGGGCGGGAGGCTGAGCGCGTGCTGGAGGTTGGCGGGGATCAGCTGCAGTTCCGCGCTCATTAAGGCATTTCATTCTGATAAAATATGTTAAATGAGAAAGTGAGTGGGAGAGAAGGCAGAATGTTCTTCCCCAAACCTTGGTTAATTACAGGCTTTTTCCTGCAAGGAATAGCATGTCCCTTTATAAGCACTCGCTCCCCTGTGCCAGGAAGAATAGACAGCCTCCGAGTGGGGAGCACAGCCGGGTGAGCGGAGTGCAGCTGCCATGAGTGGGCAGCTGAGCTGCGTCCGTGGCAGGTGGCTTTGCCCCCAGAACGTGACCACAGCGTAAGTTATGTGGCCATCGAAAAGTGGCAGTACCAGGCTGTCTTTCATTGTCAGCATTGACCACACCCTGCCAGCGTCCACCAGAAGCCTGCGTGGCGGAGGCTGCAGCCCCAGCTCGGTGCTCTTGGGAGGTGGTGGACTTTACGAGGTGTGGCCTTGTGGGAGCCTTCGGTCGCTGGGAGTGTCCGCCGGCGGGACAGAGGGAGCCTGTCCTTCCTCTCTCTCACACAGGGACCGTGAGCTGAGTGAGCTTCCTGGCCGTGCAGTCCGGCCGTCACATACTGTGCTGCCCCAGACCCAGAGCAACAGCATAAGCTGCCCGAGACAGGAACCTCCACACCTCTGGGCAAAACAAAGTGCGCTCGGAGGTGATTACCCAGAGGGCAGCTAGACCTGCTTCCGACCCCAGACCACTCCGGCGGGCTTACGCCGACAGACCTGGAGCATGTCCTGCATGTGTCCTGGGTTCTTTCAGTCCCCACTGGGTGCTTTCAGGCCACACAGCTTCATATCCAGCCTGGAATACTCGGGATGGCTCTCTGGGCATGTGGAGGTGAGAGTTACGTGCCCTGCCCTCGCGGCTTGAGCTCGGGTCTGCCGCAGGAGATGTGGGACAGGACAAGGCCCCTGTCTGGCCCTCTGCGCATGCCCCAGAAGTGCTTATGAATGAGCAAGGGCCTGGGGTGGAGATGGCTGAGCCACAGGACTCACTGAGCCACCCAGCCCCCGTGCCCTGGTGCGGATGTACGGATGACTGACACGGGCGTTAGTCATTACCTAGGGAACAAGGGGACCTGCCCAAAGCTGGACGTGTGTGTGCTATTCGTCTTCTATGATTGCCATTGTCCTTGGGAGAAGGTCTCATTCCTCACCTTGCCATGTAGACCCTAGGACCTAGCCCTGCCCCCTGCATACCGAACCCCAGCCGCACTGCCTCCTTCGCTTGGAGGACCTGGCCTCCCCTGACCTGGAGGCCTCGTGAAGCACCACGCACTCCCAGAGCCCGCCATTGCAGCAGAGCAATTAGTGTTTTCTCATCAAGCATTAGTCTGTGCCCCCCATTAAGCACAAAGCTTCTTGAAGGGTGGGCCACCTCTCAGAAGCATGGGGGACAGAGCAGATGCAGCGAAGGACTTTTAAGTGACTGCTAACCTCAGAAGGATCACTGCTGCTCAGCCCTTCACGGTCTTTATGGAGAGCGTTCGGTCAGGGACACAGTACTTGAC